AGATTCCCACAATGAAGATGTTCCCTTTGACGGTGAGGACAATATATCTCAAAATCGATACCTTCATACGATCAGTAGCGGTGAATGGAGGTGTTTTACTTCAAAGGAGCCGAGAAGTTTTTTCAAGATCTATATCACAATAAAGTATCGGCCGTCGAATTTGACGACCAACGCGGTGGTCACCGGTGATCGATCGATGAAGCGACTTAGAAATCGATGGAGTAACCATATCTGAGAGTGAAGAGCACGGGTGGAAGGGGAAAGAAATAAAGTGAAAAAATATTAAATTTGTGATACCAAAACTATGTAGTTTTGAGGTGGTAGAAGAAAGAAGAGGAGAAATTACAACTTTAGTTCTATGGAAAAAAAAAAAGAGAAATCACAACTTCAGTCCTCTGACGTGGAAACAACTGGCGTCTACATAAGTAAAAACTAACGGTTATGTTAGTCAAAACGATCAACGGTATAAAATGATGTAATTAAACAATTTCGAGGCCTAAATTGATACAAAAATACAATAGGGCGAAATTGATAAATTAAGTTTACTATAGGGGCAACAGTGACCCTTAAGCCTAATATAAATAATGATTTAAAAAATAAAAAAACAACTGAAAATTACTATATCAGCTATGTTGTTAATTTGTTAACGACGGTGTACTAACGAAATAAAAATGTAAGGTTAGGTATGATTTTTAAAAAATTAAAAATTTAGATGCTAAAATAGATCAAAATTGATAATTTAGATACTAAACTCGTAATTTACCCTAAAAATATTAGGAGATCAAACAAATATAGACCTGTTGGGATGCAACTTGGTTTGGTTTTGTTTTAAATGTCAACTAATCAGGGTATTAAATTATTACTTAAATTTTATTTTGTTCATTGAATTAAAATCATCGACCATTAATGAAATTATTGATGTGATAATTAAATAAATATGTATAATAATATATTTGATCTTAATTTTGATTTTAATTAGAAACAATTTAATGGTATTATAATTTTATTGTGATAAAAATAAAGGAAATAAAAATAGAAAAGGAACTTAAAATTGAGCATTTTGGTGTGAATGTGCTTGAAAAATGACTTAAACATGATTCATGATTCAGATTTAAGATCAGGATGTAAATCAAGAACATGATTGGAAAATATATATTTATATTAAATTGTGTTTGATGTAATGTTTTTATATTTTTAAATTAAATTAAATTTTTTTAACCTTTTACTTTTATATTTATATTGATTATGAATTAAATATTTTAACCTAATTGAAGATTTTAAAATTTTATATTTATAATTATTAATTAAATTGTAAATTTAATTAATTGATCATATAATTATAAAAGTAAAAAATAAAAAATATTAAATTTAATTTAAAAATATTAAATATTGTATCAAACACAATCTAAATAAAAAATTTATCAATTATAGACAACGTTTAGCTTGGTTTAGTAGTTAAATGTTGTGATAACTAGATTTTAGATTTGAATACTCTTAAATCCATTTTTATTTTAAGAAAATATCGTTTGATGAGTAAAAATATACGGTTGAGATTAACATTAAGAAATAAAAAGATATTCATTGGAAAATGCAAAAAGATATTTTAATTGCATATTTTCACTCATCCAATGATCCTAAAAAGGTGTAAAACTTTTATACTAAGTATAAATGAATCATAACCATTTATATATATAAAGATAAGATCCTATTACATAATGTAAAACTAAAATAGTTTTACATAGATTTAGGATCGTTAGATGACTGAAAATAAATGGCTAAGATTAACAATAGGAAATAAGAAAATATTTATTGAAAAGAAAAAAAGAAATTAATCTCATCCATCCTGACTATTAAAAGTTACAAAATGGTCACCAAACTAGTCATTATGTTTTTCGTTAAAAGATTAACGATAGTCTGAGCTAGACATTAACCTGCTAACTGAGATGTGATAAAATCTAATTTTATAATCTCAAACGTCTATCATATCTCAGTCATCATGTTAAAATCCAACTCAAACGACCGTTTTTAACAGAAAAAGACGAGTTTGGAACATAATGAATAGTCAGGTGACCATTTTGTAACTTTTAATAGTCGAGGGACACAACAAAGCAAATCCCTATAGTTGGAGGACCATTTTATAAAAGCAATATCATATTTAACTTTTATTTTAAAAAAATAATTTAATAAAAGGAATAACATAAAATTTAAGATAAATTATATTTTAGATCACTCTATTATTATGTTGGCTATAAAAGATCACAATTTTTTCTAAAAAGTACAATTTCATCATTCAATTGAAATATTGTTATAAATCACCCCATCGTTAAAATTGAAATGAAAATATAACGTAATATGATATAATAATTTAGGGTCTATTTGACGAAAAACAGATGTTAACATAATTCATTTTCTTGATCAACATAATTTCTTTTGTATTTTCTGGAAAATAACTTACGAAAAATAAAATTGTAAATCATTTTTGAAATTTTCATTTCAAAGAATACATACTCAAAATAGTATTTTATTTATTTATTTAATATTAATATATTATTTTAGTATCATTTTAATAATATATTCAATTATATTATAATAATATATTATAGTATATTCTTATTTCAATAATATACAATAAATTATTAATAATAATTTATTATTTTCATAAAAACAATATTATTAAATTATTAAATGTTTAAAATATATTTATTAATAATTTTTAAAATATAATATAATATGATTATTTTAATATTATAATTTATTATTGTAATAATATTTTTATTTTTAATAAATAATTTATATAATTTATATAATATTTTATCTTAATAAAGTATATAGACTTAATATTTTTATTTATAAAATTACAAAAACGATATTTTCATAATAATATTGACATAAATGATATTCTTTTATAGAAACGGCTAGTTTTATTAGAAAGATGCAATATCCAAAATTGCAATGAATATTTACGACCATACACATAAACTAACATATAACTGTTAGAGTATGCCCAAAAACCAATCATATGATGATTGTAATACATTTATTTATCGATTTTATTGAATAAAGGCATTGCCATTATTTTTTTCAGTTATATGTCTGTGTTTAACATAAACTGAAAGATAATAAAGTCCATATAATAACATTATTAAAAGATCCATAGTCAAGTATTATTATGGGCATGAACAATAATAATGCGCTTAAGACTAACATGTTATTGATTGATGACAACGAGTTGTCATTGACATAGAGATGTCAGAATTGTCACATGGTTATATTGTTAGAGAACAATGTATTGGATTGACCCATCATGAGCATATGTCTTTGATTATTATGTAACGATCATAACATTGCTCATGGTGATGACTATATGTATGATCTTCAGACTTGAGATCAATACCATCCCAACATATATTGTTGTATGTTTTGATACAGTTAAACATGTTGAGTAACTGGTTGCACTATAAATATTGTTATTGAATATCTCTCGATATATGTAGTGGGGTGTGTATGATTAAGATATGATTTGTCCTTCTTACATAATAGGAAATATATCACATACCACTTGATTGAGTGAGACTAGAAAAACATGGTCATGCTCGAATAAGTTGATATGTGATATCACAAATTATTCGTTAATTATAGTATACTCTAGATATCAAGAAACAATAGATGAGCTATACAAGTATGACTATTCTAAGACTTGTGCTTATTCTAGATATAAAAGACAAAAGGATGTAATACATAAAAGAGTTAATCACGAAGCTGATATGTCGGATCATAATTTCTTGTAACTTAGATGACAATGATATATTACTAGATGTCACTCATTGTATGTCGAATGATATATTTTTCAATGTCAAATTAAATATTTGCCCAACTGCCAAAATTCAGTTATACCATAATACCAAAATAAAGGATAGTTAAAAGAAAAGGAAGTAGGAAATAACCTTGCAAATAATTCCACATTAAAGACATCCCTAAAAAGGCTAATGATCACTTTCAGACATTTAACAATCTTTGTGATCGTATGATTAAACCAACAACCAAAACTACTAAGAACAAAACAAAGCCTGTAATAAAGGATTGTTACAGTCAACAAAGCTTACTACTTCGAAAGTGTATTATTAGATGGGTTACCTATCCACGACTAAGCATCTCTGATTTCTTTAACTTTTTCATGGATAAAATCTCTCCTGTACTTTTAGCACGACCACTACAGCAAAATTGTTCTACAGCGGCATTTTTAGCGGCGTTTTGGGAGTAAACGCCACTAATTTTAAACATATAGCGGCGTTTACATAGCAAACGCCACAAAATGGTAACTTTAGCGGTGTTTTTATAAAAACGCCGCAATAGGTTCATCTATAGCGGCGTTTTTTCAATAAACGCCGCAATAGAGTAGTACTTTAGTGACGTTTTTATACAAACGCCGCTAAAGACTCGTACTTTAGTGGCATTTTTATACAAACACCACAACAGAGTAGTACTTTAGCGGCGTTTGTATAAAAACGCCGCTAAAGGCTCATACTTTAGTGGCATTTTTATACAAACGCCGCTATAGACTTGTAATTTTGTGGCGTTTATTTTTACAAACGCTGTTATACACTTGTACTTTAGTGGCGGTTTTAAACAAATGTCGTTATACGCTTGTACTTTAGTGGCGTTTATATACTTACGCCGCTATAGACTCGTACTTTAGTGGCGTTTGTATTTACAAACGCCGCAAGTTTACAATTTTTAAATCACGCGCCCTTTAACCCTTTTTCATTTTTCCCCCTCACGCATTTTTCAATCCCGCCGTTTACCCAAACCCATCTGCTTCACTACCAAACCCCAAACCCATCTATTTCACTTTCGTTTTTATGCTATCTTTGATTTTGATTCCCTTATTCAGATTTTTAGAAGAACTCATCGCTGGAATTGAAGAGCGAGGAATCCGAAGTTGAACTACCGAGATCCAAATGATGGATCTGAACCTGAATCTACAAGAAACAGACTAATAGCTGGAAGAGATTAGCTCTTCTTCTTCGGAGCCAGTTGATGCGGTTATCTTCGTTGGGATTTCTTTGGTACTGGGAATTGCTTGCAGACATCTTCTTCGCGGTACCAGAGTCCCGTACACTGTTGCTTTGCTTATCATTGGCCTTGGTTCCGGCTCTCTCGGTTTGCCTCTTCCTCTCTTTACCGATTCATCTTCTTCTTCTCCACTTCCTCCTTCTTCTTATTATTATCATAAGGAAAAATTTAAATTATCAGCGTAGGAGAAGTAGAATTATCCACTGAACTTTGATGGGGTTTGACTTTCACTTTTATTGTTTCTATTTACCCATATATCAGAATTTGTTGATTTCATTGTTTTATACTAACTTCATTTGATTTTTAATCCATTTGCTTCTAAAATAGATTAACTTGACTCATCTAAGTTCAATAGTGTATGTCACCAGATCTAATCTGGATTTTAATTTTTTATTTTGCCAGAAAATAGTAGTACTAATTTACTGGGGTTTTCCTTTTATCTGCTTTTCTCTTTTAATATTGTTTCAGTGCTTGATTTTCTTATCCAAATAAAAATACTGATAAGTTCATCTTTGATGCTCCGGAGTTTCCTTTTTAACTCAATGAGTTCAAGAGTTTGCCCATTTCTATTTTCAGTTAGGTTATTATTATTATTATAGAATAAAAATAAAAACTTCACGAAAAATAAATTTTCCCCACAAGCGAAACTGATATCTTTTTTTCATTAATTTTTGAGAAATTGTATTTACAAATCACAAGTAAAGTGTATTTAGAAAAGGCCAAAGCTAGTCCTTAGCTTTGCTTGTGAAAGTTAAAAAAAAAAAACTACACTGCGAGTATATAGAAAATGAATTCATTCTTAATGGTTTAGTTATTTCGAACGAAATCCATCTGCTGGAGTTTAAAACTCTGTAAGATAAATTTGAACATTTATATTGATCAATAAGTGAGTATCAAAATTTAGTCATGCTAGACTGTTGCAAGTTTGTTTCTTTTATTTCCTTTTCTTTAGAACATGGTCTTTTACGATTTCTTCTGCTTGCCTCTAGAAGTTATTTACTCATTGTCAATGCGGTTGATCCATGCTTTGCAGAATATAGTACAAGTCATAAATTACGGGTATTACTTCTGATTTATAGGGAACAACATTGATCCTGACCTTCTATTAGCTGTTTTTCTACCTGCTTTACTTTTCAAGAGTGCATTTTATATGGAAGTGCACCAGATAAAGGTCTGTTTTTGCTTCCTTGGCTTATAAGTGCATAAGAATATCATTTTCACAGTTTTACTTAAAAAGATGCTTCTAAATACCAGAGGTTTGAGTTCTTTCATTCAAAACCCTTTAATCTCATTAAAGTGTTAGTCTATATTCTTTCTTTCTTTTGTTTTCTTCCCTTTGTCTGCGTGCTTGACCTATTTTAGATTATTGGTAACTACTTGTAGTTTTTGGCTTTTAGCTATTTTCAATGGTTTTTCTTCGTAGTTGGACTCAACATCTTTGTTTGATTTCTCATTTCCCAATCAAAGGAAATATTACCAAAGATTTTCCTTTTCACCTCAATTGCCGTATGTTTGAAACATCATTCTATCCATTAAGTTATGACTTTGAAATTTGAAAAATTGTGGCTAATGTGTCAACAGAGGTGTATGGCACAAATGCTTCTGCTTGCTGGTCTTGGAGTTCTTATTTCGACCTTCTGTCTTGGATCTGCTTTGAAGGTATCCCACCTTTCGTGCTTAGAAATTTGATATTATAATTGTGTAATTACAATATTATATTCTCATTGCAGCTTACTTTTCCATATGAGTGGAACTGGAAAACATCACTGTTGCTTGGGGGACTTCTTAGTGCCACTGATCCTGTTGCTGTTCTGGTCAAAGTCTCACTTGGAGCGTAAGTATCCTTCATTTTCAACAATTATTGAATTTAGTTGGGATGCCATTATTGAATTTTTCGGTTTCAGTGTGGGCAGCGGTGGGCGTAGTCTAGAAGGTTGCAAGAGATCATCCTTCGCTTATGCTTTCCATTAAGAAATGTCCAATAACTTTGAAAATGGTTGCAGACAAAGAAAAATGGGAGGAGTTGCAGAAGTTGAATCTCCAAGAAAATTTGGAATGCCTTAGGTCAGGAATCCAGCCAAATGACATTTGTAGCTTATATTATATGCATACTAAATTATTTTTCTTTCCATATGTGGACTTGAACTCAATATTTTCGAAGTAATGAAAATCAAAGCTACATTACATTTAATTTTAATGTTTATAAATTTTAATTTATTTTGTTGTTAAAATTTATGATTGTTGTTATTTATATAAAGTTACATGATATTAAATTTAGGTGATGTATAACAAAAATGAAATATGCAAAATATCAATTAATCTTGGCTAAGAATGGTAATTAGCGGCGTTTGTACCCAAAACCGCCGCTATAGATCTGACCTTTTGCGGCGTTTGTGTCCAAAAATGCCGCTATAGATCTGACCTTTTTGTGGCGTTTGTATCCAAAAGCGCCGCTATTAATCTAACCTTTTGCGGCGTTTGTTCCAAAAATGCCGCTATAGATCTGACTTTTTGCGACGTTTGTGTCCAATAATGCCGCTATAGATCTCGACCTTTTGCGACGTTTGTTCCAAAAACGCCACTATAGATCTCGACATTTTGCAGCGTTTGTTCCAAAAACGCCGCTATATATCTCGACCTTTTGCGGTGTTTTTTCTAAAAACGCCGCTATAGATATCGACCTTTTACGGCGTATGTTCCAAAAACGCTGCTATAGATGTTGACCTATGGCGGCGTTTTTTGTTCTCAAACGCCGCTAACTTTAGCGGCGCTGTTTTTAGCGGCGCTTCTTGCGGCGTTTTTCCAATCGCCTCAAGCGCTTTTAGCGGCGCTTAAAAACGCCGCTATAGGACTAAAAAATCGCCGCTAAAACTCTATTTTGCTGTAGTGGACATAACCTAACCTGCGTTTGTTGCATTGAAACAATGGTAAGTGTCAAACCATGGGTGTAATTATCTAAATTTGCAATTTCTTTTAAAGCATAATTGAAACGAGTTCAAAAATCACTGAAAATTTTAACCAAGTATCAAGAGCTCTAATACAAAAAACATTTGAAACCTTTCCCGATTACAGTTAATTGTTCGAAATCATCAATTCCAACTTTACGTCTTTGCAGCCTCATATATTCGGTTTCTCTCCTTTCCAAATTCCTCATAATCTCTTCTTGTTCCTCACTCGAAACCTGAGCTTCCTCAGCCCTCCTTTGCAGTGCTCGTCGTCTTAAACGAACAGTTAATATCCCATAAAATTACATTTCAATTCTAAAAAAACCGCCCAACAAATTTCATCCACGCTAACCATATCCACCACTTAACATAATAATTTCAATTATTACCTAAAAAAAATAAATTCAACTGAAAATTAGCAAAATATCAAATTAAAAGAGCACGTGGATATTTAGATGCAACAATAGTTTGGACCATCGTAATTACCTTTCTTTGCGCTCGTGTAATCTTTGCAGGTAGTTCTTGTAATGATTCTCAATGAACTGTTCAGCGACGACAGCTTTTTGCCTGTTTACCGGCGAAGAAACGGAGACATCCGAATCCAAAGCTAAGCCTCGACCGGCGAACAACGACAGGGTCGTGATGGGTATGGAGGTGAAGGTCACGATGGGGTGCAAAAAATGTTAGGGAAAATAAAAGGTGAGATCGGGCTGAAGGGTTAGGGAGATAAAACTTTTAAAATTTACAGCGTTTTTAAACCCAAATGCCACAAACATAGCAAACTATTACGGTGTTTGTAAAAAAATGCCGTTAAAGTACTACTCTGTTGGGGTGTTTTTTGAAAAATGCCACTATAGATGAACCCTATTACGACATTTGTATAAAAACACCGCTAAAGTACTACTCTATTGCGACATTTTTTGAAAAAACACCACTATAGATGAACCTATTGCGGCGTTTGTATAAAAACGCCGCTAAAGTACTACTCTCTTGCGACGTTTGTTGAAAAAACGCCACTATATATGAACCCTATTATGACATTTTTATACAAACGCCGCTAAAATACTACTTTGTCACGTCGTTTGTTAATAAAATACCACTATGGGTGAACCTATTGTGGCTTTTGTATAAAAATGACATTAAAGTAATACTCTATCATGACATTTTATATAAAAACGCCGCTAAAGTTACCATTTTGTGGCATTTGAAATGTAAACGTAAAGTTAGTGGCGTTTACTCTCAAAACGCCGCTGTAGAACATTTTTGTTGTAGTGCTCATCTCAAATATCAAATGCTCCATTAATATTTCATCTATAGATAAAATATTCACCTTAAGTGACATCTGATGCGGTAACCAAACACTGATAATAAGAACGTGTCAAGCAAAAATCTTCATTTGGGCCGATTTATTACTCACACATTAAAAGGAATAATTATCACATGCTTATTACCAAAGTTGTATATGCAATTATGTCAACTATTAATCTTCTTTTGAGCTAATCAATACTAACATATCCTTAGTTACATTTACATAACCTTTATATTTTAAAACAAAATAATCTCCATAATTGAGGTCACTTTACCAACTTATTGATTTAATTAAATCGTCTCAAAAATAAATATCAATATTCAAATTTAATATTTCTATAACAATCAAAGATCAAAATTAAATTTTTTGATTGCACAATAGTTTCTAAAACAACCCAAAATAAGGTTCCATAGATGGTGCTATAAAAAAATGAAAACCTCAACTCTTTGATTATTTCCGAAAAATTCCTTAAACATGCATTTAATTCAAAACTTCATAAATTACTAAAGACAAACTAAATTCAAAACAATCAACTTTTAACTAAGAGTCAAAGTCCATACTAGTGAATTAAAACTTTAATCAAATTGAATCGAATATATTAATGCCAAATATATATTCTATAATCCATAACAGTCAAAAACCAAAACTGAATTTTTCAATCACGTCATGATTTCCGAAATACCCATAATAAGGTTATCTAAATGATGATATTAAATACCGAGAATCTAAATCTTTGACTATTTCTCAATATTTCCTTAATAATGAATTCACCAAATTAAACCAAAATATGATACAATAAATCAAAATCAAATACATAACTTTAAAGAACACATGTACCATAATATCTCTGAGCATTAAACTCATTTCCCGTCTAAAACTTATTAAAATTTTAAAAAAACAATATTAAAATTTTATAAGCATAAACCTTAAAATCAATTAATTCTCATGATTCAATATGACAAGTACTTATGCCACTTGATAGAACCAAATCATAATAAATATGAAAACTATCCAGGATCTAATCATACCAAACCATCAAGAATAAAATAAACTAGATTTGCGGAAGCATACCTGAATTAATCGATAGGTTGAAATCCTTGAATCTTTAATTAGCTGTGATCTTCCAAAAATATCGAATAAACTCTCTGACGGAGATAAGAGTAATACGAGATGATCTATTTCTTGGGGATCATTATCCCTTTATATAGCTGATTTAAGAATCAATTATTGTTTGTATTTATTACTCTGGCCCTCATCAAATTATAAATACAACTTTAATAGTATCTACACTTTTATTTTCACGACACTTCTAATACCTTATGATTTTATAACATAATTAGTCACTTAATTTATATGATATTTTATGATAAAATTGTATATTATACATATGTGTCCACAATTATGGATTTTAATCCAACAATATATTGTTTCTTTCATTGATTTTTAATAGAATTTGAACTTTTATTTTGTTGTAATGTAAGTATTGAACCGTTAAAGTTGAAACGACGTGATGATATGGTTGAATCTTTTTGTCACTGTGATATTGTGGTAAAAATGACGTCATTTTGTTATGCAAATTGATGTAAAAAATGATGTTTTAGGTACTAAAATTTAGTGTTGATCAATCATTGCCCATCACCTATCTCCCTTCTCGACAAGATTAATACCAAAATGATCATATTTCACTCCTCTTTCTTCTTCTCGCATTTGTTTTTCATAAAATGCACTCAAAATTGACAAAAATCCATTTAAACGCCCAATGTGCTAATACTTCAGTCTCCTCCAATAATCATCTGATAAGGTAGGTTGTTCATCTTCTTGAAATAAGCTTCTCATCGTTCATATTTTCAAATAAACACCTAAAATCTTAGAAAGCCTTCATACCCAAAAAATGACATATTTTTTAGTTTAATTTTGTCTATTTTGAGTGGATCTCGTGAAAAATCAATTCAAAAAGAAGAAAGATGAGTGAAATATGAATATTTTGGTATTATTTTTATCGAGAATGGCGATCAATTGCATACAACAATTGATCGACAATGACGATCAAAAAGTTCATTGCTTAAAATGAAAATTCGGCGCATAATTACATCATAAAAAGTTCAGTATATGATGTAATTTACTCTAAAAAATAGTATATTGATTCATACGAGGAGCCAATGAAGGTAAATGAATGATCATTTTGTAAATGTTCATAATCCTGAGACTCAACAAAACAATATACTATAATCGAGAGACTATTTGTGCATTTTACCCATTTTTATTAGGTAAAGTGAACAAAACATATATTTACTGAATGTGAATATTCCCTGTTGAATCCTTGAATATAGTAAGCGTTAAGATTGTTGGTCGAAGAAGATGCTTCCCAATATGTTCCAAATTTTGGAAACAGAGTAATGTCAACTTCAATCGAATTGTTTAAGTGCCATATTCCTTTTTAAGCAAAGCTAATTTAATTAGCAATAGTATTTATTAATTAATGAGTTATTATATATTGTTAATGCTATAAATAATAGCAAAATTACTTTTTGTACCCTTTAAAAATATATAATTTATTGTTAACTCCAATAAATTTAAATTTTTAAAGGAATTCTATTTTTTATTAGTGAGGAGTGATTACAAGATAGAATTTGTTTATCTTTTAATCGATTGACAATGCATATACACTAAGAGGTGAGTGTTTGATCGAGTCGAGTAAAAAAATTAAGTTATTCGACTTGACAAGTTCTATTTTATAACTCAAACTTTTTTTGAAAATTTTTCAAGTCGATTTTATAAAATTCGAGTTGTTCGAGTTTATGTTTAAATTTAATTGTAAATATTTATAATAATATGGTACTATTTGATTCAAATTTAAATGATTTTCTATAATCACATACAATACATATATATTTCATCATATTTTTTTATTTGATATACATATATGTGATATACATAAATCATACAGAGTTAAGAGGCTCGAATCAAACTTAAAAACTAATCTACTAATTACTAAAAAATTTGACTTATTCAAGTTATATTTTATAAGTTGACTCGAATTTTAAATTTTTTCAAGTTGAGTCAATTTGAGTCTAGTTTTTTCAAATCGACTCTAGTCGAGAAGATCAGTTTTCTGAGTCGAGTCGAATCGAGTTTTACTCACCCCTAATACACCCTACAAACATACTTGATCGAACTCGTGTCATGTAAAAAGAGTAATATTCTCTTCTACTACTAAATAAACTCGATGGTTTATTTTATTTAATTAGAGTTGATAGTTCCCGGGTTCATTTTACATTTCCCTCGTTTTCCTTACACCGAGATAAGACAGTTGTTCTACAAAGTCATCTAAAGCCCTGTAAGAACTTCCACCTTCTCCAATGGAGTCTAATGCAATCTTCCTTAATTTCATGGCTTGAACCCTCTCAGGCTTGTTCATGTCCAAGGAATCAGAGAGAGTTCGAGCCAGCTTGGTTGCATCAGGGACAGTCTCTAAACCCTCACAAACACGAACCGCAACCCCCAATTCATCGACCAACAGAGCTGCATTACGGAAATGGTCAGCTTGCATGGGCCAGGCAAGCAATAGAACCTCAGCAAGGAAGCCTTCGAGTGCCGAATTCCAACTACAATGACTTAAATACGAACCAACCGCAGGGTGGCCAAGAATAGCCACTTGGGGTGCCCAGCCTTTGATCACAACTCCCCTCCCCGCAACACGATCCTCGAACCCTGGTGGAACCACGTTCCCATCATCATCGATATTTCCAACTCCTTTCATCGGTTCCTTCACAACCCAAATGAAACGAACCGCACTTTGTTCCAAAGCTGAAGCAACAGCCTCCATTTGTAGCTTCGAAAATGTTATCTGTGTTCCAAATCCGACATAGACCACGGATTTGTCAACTTTATGACAAGAGTCAAGCCATTGAATAACTTGATCATCTTGCCCCAAGAAACTTGGTCCGCGTTCAATGGGGAGCAAAGGACCTACAGCCCATAAACGGTTGTGCTTGGTTATCTCTTCCTTGATAAAGTTAATTTTTTCATCATCTATCTCATCAAACGAGTTGAAAACCAAACCCCAACTTTGAATGCAACCGAGATGCAGTTTCCTATAACAATCGGACATGGAATTTAGATGGTCCACCCACCATGAACACACCGCATGTGCATTGGTGAAGACGAAACACACATTGGGGATCCCGAGGTTTGAAGCTAACGAAGGAGTCCAAGAACTAAGCAACATGTCGGAAACAATCGCGACTGGAGGAGAAACATGGGATTCGAACCAGTTAACTATAGGATCGTGGAGCTTACTCAATGCAGCAGCGAAATCGTGGACGAAAGAGATGTCGAGGTCTTGCATGTTTTCGATACCGTGTGGGATGGAAGAGTGGGAAGGGAAAGGAAGCACCAATGTTTGGAGATTTGAAGAAGAATGTAAAGAGAGGAGAGGGTTGAGATAATGGAGGTTTTTAGGTGTGACCATGACCGTCACTGTTAAGCCACGACGGAGGAGCTGGTGGGTTAAATCCATAAGAGGAAGGATATGTCCCGCTCCTGGGTATGGGATCATTAGAATGTGAACTCCATTGCAGTAGCTTGTCATATTTTTTTTTCTTTTCTGCACTTGCGTTCTTGATTTGGTTCTCTTGTGTCTTAATTTATAGAACCAAAAGTATACTTGACATTAATTATAATAAAATTGGGTGGGTGAGGTTGGTGTAATAAAATTGGATGGGTGAGGTTGCTATTTTCTGTTCGTTGTTGGTTCCATATGTGGAGGTGGTGCGGTGTGAGACTCTAGTGCGGGCAGCTTTGGTTTGATTGTTTTTGCTGCAATTATATGGTTGTGGGGTTACGATTTTTGTGATTTTTAAGAACAATAAATGTTTAGAATTTCGAAGTATAAGTATTAAGTTATGTGATTTTTTAGAACAAAAAAAAAATATTGGTATTTATTTATTTTTAATAATTCATATTTCATATGACATTTTTATTTAATAATATTAATATCGAGTAATATTATATAGATATTATTTGATTTGATTTGATTAATGATGATTGTTTAGTATTGCATATTACTAATTGTTTTCTTTTGGGTTTATTTTGGATATGAGCCTCTTTGGATTAATTAGCTCAACAATTAACAAATTCCTATGGTCCAATCAACATCTTTTAGAAGACGAGTTGAATATTTAATTGGAATTTACCTGTCATTATGTTATCCATGAGATGAAGCATAATTCAATCAGAAATACAAGATTTAAATATTTTTTTTTATATTTTTAGTTTGATTATTTTATTATTACTTTTTTATTTAAGATTTTTAGTTTGATTATTGTTGAGTTAATATATCGATCGACGTAATAGCCAAGAGGGGATTAATTAGCAATAAAAATTTTGGTGGAAGCTTTTGCAGAAAATTGAAAATATTTGCACATCGATTTAGAGTGGTTCGACTTTCTCAACCAAAGTCTACGTCCACTACTTTAGCTATCCACACTAAGGATTTTCCACAAATTCACTATTTTGTCTTTCTTTTAAGGACAAAGAGTAACCTTACAAATCTCTCAAGAATTATACCCCAAATTCTTGAGAACACTCTCTCCCAAAGAGAAAATTACAAATTCCGCAAACTTACAGAAGAACCTCACAAGGTAGATTGTTTGCACAATTCTAGAACAAAGAAAGAACACTCAAGAATGAATACAATTGAGCACAAATGATGTTCTTGAAAGAAAAATGAATATTGAATGTAAATAGGCTTGAAAATGCTCAAACAATAAGTTTAAAGCTTTCTCTTTGATTCTCTCTCAATTCTTGTTTAAATACACCTTGGATTGATTCTGAACGTTGGGGATCATTGGTGAAGTTAATAGAGCCATTATGGTGTAATTATCATTTAAAAAATCTGTTGGGAGCGTAGGTGTATCGGTATACTCTCAAAGGTGTATCGGTACACTGTATGTAAAATTCAAATATTTCGACCGTTAGTTGACCTAGTGTATCGGTACATTCCAGGTGTATCGGTACACTAATTACATTCGATGTTTCTTGGAGCTAGGAGTGTATCGATGCATCTGCTGTGTATTAGTACACAAAATGCATTCGATGTTTGGTGTGAATCGATACATTTAAGAGTGTATCGGTACATCCCTTTGTAAAAATTATTTTTGTCCCTATTATGGTTCGAAATACTTTGTAAAATTGTTTCAAAAATATTTTAAGATTAAAACACAATTTTACACTTTAGTAAGGATTAAAATTGACCTTTGAAAAACTTGGAGTAATATTTTTTATATTCGAATAATTTACTCGAATATTAATTTTGAAATCGAATAAAATATTAAAATTTAATAATACTTTATTTGTTATATCGAAACATCAAAATGTTTTCAACAATCTCCCCCTTTTTATATAACAAAACATTTAAGTAATTTTAAGATTTTCTTTGAAAATCATTTTTGAAATCAATTTTGAATTTTTGAAAATCATTCCCCTTACTTTATTCTCCCCCATTTTGTTAAATAAAAAATACTCTATAAAAACTTTTTTAAATAAGAAAAAAATATCCAATTGATTTATACTTATAGCTTAAGCTGCTAAGATCACAATCAAGAGAATTGTTAGCCATTAGTCCATAATCAATATTCAAAAACAATGTGTAATGGTAATTGGTCATATTTTAACTAAGATGTAAATGATGCAAAATTCTAACATGTAAAATAATATTCAACAAACCAAATTCAAACAATTAAAGTCAAATAACCATATATATATATAAACATCCAAGTTTAATCATCCAAACATCCATAACACAAAAATCCAAAATGTTTTAACAATATATAAGTTCAAATTCAACCTAAGAAAACAAAGCAAGAAAAAGGTATAATCATCCATTGGTGGATCGGGAGGTGATAGATGTGCCAATATGTTAGCCACATATCGTGTAAGCACATTGACCCTTTCGTCCATGGAATCAAATCGATGATTCATCGCTTCGTTGTTAGCAGATAAATGAGACTCGATGGATGCAAACCTCATGTCAAGAGTCTCCATAAACGATCGAACGTATAGAGGCATCTGACTCTCTTGTTGTACCAGTGCCGGAAGAGCTCGTGAAGAGCTAGCACCCGGTGTTTTCTCGGTGGATCAAGCCCATTGATCCTTTTCCCCGGACCATCCCGATTTCTTCAAGGTTGTGAAATTTATTTGGTTCTTAAGGGGGATGGCTACATCAAGCGAGACACTAAGTTTGGACGGGACATTGTTTACGATTTCTACTAGCTCACCGAAAATGATTTGTGGCAAATTTATTTTCTTTTTATGTTAGATACAATGTATCCACCATAAATCTAAAACTCTAAGGGTAGAGTACCTACCTCTAGATGGTCTAAACTACCAAGAGATGATTAAATGAAGAAAACACTCATGATAAGTTAATAAGGTACTTGCACAGCTTTATAAGGTGTAGCCACAATTTCTTTTTCGTTATCTAAACCCGCGTTATCTAAACCAAATGTGTTAGCAATTATGTCAGAGTCGATATAAATGAATTGACCTAATAAATATGATCGAATTCCTATGGTGGCAGTACGAGACTCGTTTTGGACACAAACCACATTGGAATAGAAAATGCGGACTAGTTGGTGATAAACGATGGGTTTGAGCTGAAAGAGTTTATCAAATTTCCAAGATCGGAGGGTAGGAAGATATTCAAATTTCATATCGACCATAGCTTGGATTAAGGGGATACACTTTTCCCGGATTTTATATGACTCGAATGAGTTAATGAACCTATGGTAGAGATCTTCTCGACGATCAGGTTGGTTAAAGCAAGAATTAAGGATAGTCATATCGGGAGCGTTTGGGTTTGGATTTTGAGGTGGAATAGGAGGTCAGTTTTGAGGTTGGTTTGACGACCGACTAGATGAAGACCTAGGGTGTTTTGAATGAGACATTGTTTTTAATCGGAATGGATTAAGGGATACCTGCAATTTTAAAAACACATGTATACAATATAATCAACCCAAAACTCAATATGAGTCCGCAATATTCAAGGTTCTCTAAACCGAATCCTAATGGGAAATTTTGAAAACTAAAATAATGTTTGAAAAATCATAATACATATAGTTTTCATGAAAAAAAAAAATTAAACCAAAACCAACAATTTTAAAAACAAAACATTTTTTAATTTCAAAAATTTAGAAAAATTTAGAAAAATATTATGTTTTTGATGAAATTAGTTGTAGATTATAGTTCTAGACTATAATCTAATAAATGTCTGATATATAATTCAACCTAAAACTAACTAAAACTAGTGTCCTATCGAAAAAGGATTATAATCGGAGTAATATTCTAAATTGAGTATTTAATAGGGTTGCAGAACTACACGAGTATTCACGGGCTCTCGCGGACGAGCGGATCGGGAGGAACCAGGTCGAACATGCGAACGATCAAGAGATCTACAAGACCTTAATTAGCGACATCACAAATTAATTAGTTATTGACATTAAATTAAAAGATCATAATTAAATTGTTTAACTACATATGTATGTTTGAGTTTACGAGTCAATCTGTAGGCTTTCAGGTTCAAATTTGGTAAAACAGACTTCGGATTCAGACTCAGGACGTCGAAAAACATAAAATATGACTCTTCATAAAATTTGACTTTTTAGTCAAAGTCAACGGTCAGAGTCAAAGTTAACGGTCAGGTCAACGATTAACGGGTTGACTTTGCTTGAGTTGACTCTGTAAGTTGACTCAACTTGACATGTTTATGTTGATTCAGTTCGGCCTGAGTTGACTCAGACCGGTTCAAACTGGTTTGGGCAGGGGAGACTGGTCTAGAGGGTTCTTTAGAGCGTAAAAGCATGCCACGCGTACGCAGCAGTGCATGGAAGCACATGACGATGGTAATAGGGTCATAGTGATTGATCGATTCTTCCACGGTCTTTAAAATACCATAACATCACAGTTCAATGCATCAATAGCCAAAACCCAGTGAAAAATAATCGGATAAAAAGATCAGAAGCTTACTCACGATGGACGACAGGAAAACGATGGTAATGACTCAACCCATCGATCGGGTTTTGAGTGGATGGAGGTAGGGAGTGCAAAGGTGGCAGTAGTAAGGCGACACGACGTCATATTCGATCGAAATTCGCAATAAATCTAGGCATGACCTAGGTTTCTCTGGTGATCGACTCTTTAGGAAGATCGGGGACACCTTATGACAAATAGCCAAAGGGTTTTGGTCAGACGATAATGACGTCTTCACTGGGACGGACGGTGATGTGTACCACTAGCCGGAGGAGGGAGAATCGAGGAGGGACGACGAAAGGGTTCGGGGGAGGGTGAGTCAGGAAGCTTCCTCTCTTTGTCGCGATGAATGACGGTAGCTTTGGGTAAGCCAGGGGTCAGAATTGGGTCGCCAGATGACACTGAGTTCAATGGCGGTGGCGGTGTCGACAAGAGGAGGCTGGAGGACGAGTGGCGTGGACACTTCGGGTCTGTGAGAAGAAGGGGTTTAGAGGGTTTGATTCACGAATACATGGGGTTGTAAAATGGTTTAACACCCAATATTTTAAAAATAAAATAAAGGTTTACTGTT